TTGCAATCAATAGTGAATTATATGATGTATATAATGTATTTTGAATGAATGACCATGAATTTAAATATCATTTTACTTAAACAAATGTTATTTTAAGAGGCAATTTTTTTATATATTATAGAGATTTTTACAACAATGAACATTATTTCAAAGAAATATGTTAATTGTCTACTATTGTCATGTATGTATTTACTACATGTGTTTATTAGTGCTAATAACTCAACATAACTAAACATTTAGTGAATTTTTGGTTAAAATTTTAATGTGAGAAATAATCATTTTAATTAAAACAATTGATTTGATTTATTAAATCTATATGAAGTTACAAACAAATATGTTTGAACTAGACGATAATGGCATTTTAAGTGTATTGTATCGTTTATACCGTATAATTTGTGCTTTAATTTATCATTTCAAAAGTCATAAATCATTGTTTTGTAAAATTCTCTCTAAAATGTTTCTCATTCTCAACAATACTTACTGCTATTCTTATAAATATAATTAGAAATGCAAATCATTTTAACTTAAAAATTTACCTCAAAAAACGAAATGACAATTATTTTTCAATTAATATTACATATAAATTAAATAATATACTGTAATAGACTTAATAGAATTCTATGTTAACATAATATTAATTATATAAGTACAGACTGTATAAGTACAGTATATAATATTAAGTACTGTATATACAGTATTATTTTAACACTTGAATAATAATTATTGTCAATTCATAGCAATTATCTGAACATAAAGTGATGGCAGAAGCGAGAAGTGCTGTCAGCGAACCGATGGTCGCCAAAGTGGTGGACAGAGAGTCGACCCCACACTGGGATGTGATCGCCAAAGCATGGATTAAAGGCGGTCGACGCAAATACTACCGGACCAGGTTTGATGTATACCATGTTATCAGATTGCCATTTCCCAATCAAATCCCACACTGTATTTTATTATCATATTCACGTTAAGTATTAAATACATGCACAATATTTATTATAACGAATTATAATGAATTATTTTTTGCGAACGATTTCTTAAAACTTTCTAATAATTACACACTTTTTGGTTATTTATGAAAATGTGTCAAACATTTCATAATACGATTAAATTGCAATTCATTTTCCTCTCTCTCTCTCCCATTTAAATCTCACTTAAGAAAATATATTTCACTCACAACTCATTAACTCTTATGAAATTACAGTTCAATTAATTTTTATTAAATTTACAATTTTTGTGAAAAATAAGAATTCATTACAACTGAAAGCAACTGAAATATATTTATTATTTATATTCTCTAATAATTAAATTTCATGAGTCTTTGACTTAATTTTCTCGTTGAAAACCTTGAAATATTTTGACGTTAAATTGTCCTCATTTTTATACAAGTCTTTTGATAGCATTTATTATATTTATTAATATTTTTAAGACTTAATCTTTGGCTTTGAAAACAAATAATAATTATATATTTATCTTAATTTACATGAAAGAAGAGTTAACTAATTGTATTTTGAAATAATTTTATTACAATATTGTGATGAAAATAAACCTCAAAATGAAAAACAAAAATCATTTTAAACACAAAAGACATTTAAGATAAAATGTTGTCATAATTTTCCCAAAAATTTTGCAATTTATTAAAACAGGAACTATAATAATAACTGACAGAAATATAACGTTTGACTCAAATTGCAGAAAACCCATGCTTAATTAGAAGTTTTACCCACATCATAAATTATAATAACTTTGAATATGATAAATAAATGAAACGGTAATTCCCTGACAGGAATTCAATCCGCAATGGGATGTGGCCGACATCGATGTCCAATCTTTGTGTCATTTGTTCCGCATTTTTCCTGCTTATGATATGCGAGCCGTCGATCACTAAGTTTTTAACGGACAGACTCTGGAGATTCGGGTTTCAAATATATATCGTATCGAGTAATGAAAAAATACAATTAATAATTGAAGAAAAAAAGTAATTTTAATTGTTTTGCCCGCAAATACAGGTCTACCTCTTGTGTTGAGAGCAGTGATTATATCCTCCATTTGTGGCTTTAGTTTCATATTAATAGCACTAATATTACGACAATATTCGATACGACTATTGCTGTCATACAGAGGTTGGATGAATCAGATCTCATCCCGGAGTCGACCCAAAAAAGTGATACTTTGGGGTATTTTCTTACGACTGGTCAGCGGCTATCAGCCCTCTCTGTATAGCTTTCAGCGTTCATTACCGCGAATGCCTGTGCCGTCACTCAGAGACACAATTCATAAACTATTTGAATCACTTAAACCTGTTTGCACTGAAGAAGAGTTAATTGTTTTGAAAAAACAATCAAAAGTGAGTCCCAATTATTACCTCATTATAGTTAGAGAAATGCAAGACATGATCGTATAATTGCAAACATATTATAAGATACAATCCCTTAAACCTTAATTTGATTTATATTCAGACTATAAGAGCATAAATCAAATTATAAGAGAATAAATCCAATTAAATGTTTGTTTTTGACATTATCTCACATAATATTAATTATAATTTGTTATATTTAGGTTTTTAAGGCAACTTTAGGGCCAAAACTACAGAAACTATTGGTATTAAAGTCTTGGTTAACACAAAATTATGTGACGGACTGGTGGTCTGTTATATCAATAATATTGACATTAATTTGAATTTATTGGTTGTAATGAATTGATTATATTTAGGGAGAAATACGTCTATTTGAGAAGTAGACTCCCATTACCTATAAATTGCAATTACTATATCATGGATCAGAGCTATTGGAGGGCAACCGATAGACCGGCCGCGAGAGCCGCTTCACTCGCCACCAATATATTGAAATTTAAACGACTTATAGATAGGGAAGAATTGCCACCTCTTCTGCTCCGAAACACAATTCCCATTTGTATGTCTCAATACGAGCGTCTATTCTCCACCACTAGGTATTCAACAAATCAGTTTCAAAAGTTTTAAATTATTACAAATAAATTATTTTGCTTAGAATTCCTGGCGAAGAGATGGACGAACTGATCCATTACGACACTAAACGATCCAAACATATAGTGGTTGTTTGTAAAGGAGTTTACTATAGAGTGGATGTGTTTGACTCGAAGAGCCAACAAATTTCGTCGAGAAATTTGGAGCAAAAGATTGAATGGATTATAAAGGATGCGACGGAACACGAGCTGACACTTACGCCCGAAGAGAAATCGGTGGCAGCGCTGACGGCAATAGACCGAAGCGAATGGGCTGTCA